AAAAGTGTGGATTATTGTAACCTGGATTAAAAGTGTGGATTATTGTAGTGAAGCCTTCGTCTTCAACCATGGACAGAGGCCTCATGTCAGTGACGATCATGTTCAGGATGTTTCAGTGAAGACAGCTGCTGCTGTGGTGTCCATGATGTCTGTCCATCATGAAGGATGTTGTTGTTTGTTGTTGTTGTTTTCTGGAATGAGAGAGTAAATATGTTTTATATCATAATTTACAGCAACTCAAGAAATGCCTTGTTTCACTTGCAGTGTTAGGTTCAGGTAAAAGTAGCTAAAAGAGCAATTAAACACACACACATATAAAATACTTAATTACACACATTTGAGTAGATGTAATAAATGACTTTAATTCCTGTTTAAATGCAAATCATCCTGCCATACCTGCAGTGTCTTCAGACTTTGCCAGCAAATTAAAAGTTGAAGCTTAATCATTAAATTATTATCTTTGTGTTAGATTTATTTATAAATCACATTTAAACACTGCTTGTACCAATTAAATTAAATAAAAAGTAACACACGTTCTCTATCGCCGTCATTAATCAGATAAACAAACAAACAAACAAACAAACAAACAAACAAACAAACAAACAACTTCATCTACCAGACAGACTGACGTTACGTTTTCTCTCTTGAAACAGAACAAAGTGTTAAATTGTAGAGACTCACCTGCAACACATGGAGTTGTATCAGCTGCAGCTCCTTCCTCCTCCTCGTGACTCCGACATAATTACATTTCATCTCCGTGGTTCTCCCGTGTCGTGTCGTCACTTTTTCAAAGCTGCACATTGCACAGTTTTTATCTTTGTGAAGTTCTCCCACACTTTGGAGGAATTGGGTCGAACAATTTTCTCTTCGTCGGTCATTAATAAAATTTACTTAATTTCCTTTGAAAGCTCTGGTCCGCCTCCCCCCTCGTTCTGTTCAACTCGCAGTGCAGAGATTTTTTATTTTTTTAACTTTATTCAGTCAGCCAGCATTGACAATGAACTGCAGATGAACAAAATGGCTCCGCAACTCCGTGAAAGACGCTTAATCGCACGAGACAACAAATCGATAATGACATTCGTTGCCAACACTTTAAATCATGGATTTTTATTGATTTCATCGATTTGATGTTGCAGCTCTAAACAGGTGCGTTTGGAAAACTGAAGCAAGTACATAAAAGGTGCATTTGGAAAACTGAGGCAAGTAGATAACAGGTGTGTTTGGAAAACTGA